TACGCATACGCAAACCTTGATCACAAAGAGGAGGAAAGCCCCAGAACTTTAGCGATGACTGACATAATACATCTCATGCGTACCACCTTCGTTTGCGCAAATTCTCACCAGTTGCACCCCAATCACATTTCCTACGGCGACCTTGCGGTCTATCATTTCTGCGGCCAGTAACATTTCTACGCTCGCCGTGGAATTTCTGCGCTCTCATACTTTTGCAGTCACATTTCCCACGGCAGCCGCACGGTGAATTTTAAATGTCTGTTGATAAATAATACTTTTTTCATTTTATTTACATCGGGACAATTTATAAATGTTATTCATAGTGCTAGGATGTAATATCAAATGAAAAGTGATCGTGAAACATTGACAAATAATGTTTCAATCTTGTTGAGCCAGTTGATTTCTACGGGGACCTCAGAAATGAACAAAAAACTTCGAGTTATAATTTCTACGGCGACCCTGCGGCCTGTAAAAAACTGGATACGCCGTACGGAGGCCGCAAGGCGAGCGTAGTTTTCCTACGCTCGCCGCAGAAATACACTGATTTAATTGATCTGCGGTCGACGCACGGCCTCCGTACGACAAATGTGACTGGGGTGTTAATGTTCGAACATAGAGCGTCGTCGTGATGTTTTAATCGATGTAAACATATTCATTACACATTTATTTATCTTCATGTGAAAAACAAAGCTATGATGATGGTTAATACGCCAGGAATCAACCCGGGAAATCAACATCACTGGTGATCCGCTCGATTACGCTGGTTACCGAAACGGTTCGTTTTGGTAACAAAATGTAGGAACGTCGAAGGTACGATTTTTTCTTTTTTCCTTATTTCACGCGTTGCATATAGGCAGAATCTCCACGACGTTTTTCTCACAAACATGTATCAGCATCATATGTTTTAGAAAATGTACATGTTTGCGAAAAATAGCTCAGAAGACAACATAATCGTCGATTTCATTCCTCACTTAAGTTACATAAACGGATTGGGTTAAAAGTGCAGATCTTAACTGCTTTTCGAAAAACCGTTTATGTAACTTAAGTGAGGAATTAAATCGACGATTCTGCCAATTATGACTTTGTTGAACCTGAAGAAACGTATCATTTCTTTGTTAAATAAAAGAAGCAAATTCAATTGCTACCTAACTTGTATTTTTTGCAAGGCCTCGGATGGATGGATATTCTGTCAAATGGCTTGCAGCAAACCTACCATTTCCCTTTGGTTAACATGGGAATGTCGATTTTCGAAAATTCATCATATTTATCATCGATTTTCGACCTATTGATAGTAAATACTGCATTAAGTACTCATTATTTTGCAAACATGAGTGCCTGGAACAACAACTATATCGGTTACAAACAATTCTGTGTTTTATCTATTTCTCATATTGAGAAATTCAATGTATAAACAGGAGTTCATTACCTCTCCCCCCCCCCCTTCATTTTCAGACATCTTCGGGTCTTTGCTCGGCGGTGGGTTGTATATAGGCGGGTAGACTCCCCCGTGAATGTTGATAGGCGCATGCAGTTTTGTGATCGAAACAAACCGCAGCTTGATCTATAAAATGAAACGCACTTTAAGTGTTACTCCAGTGTGTTACTATACATTAGTAAATTATCATGAGATCATGAGAGTGATCATGTCCACACTCATAGTTCTACCTCATGGGTATTGAATCACTTTAATTTATAACATTTAAACATTGGAATCCTTCAATCATTCTTGTCCAGAGTTACATTGAGCTCGTATTTTATATTCCTCAAATGTTTGAAACAACATCGGACAAATGAAAGTCCAAATAGCACTAAATCAAAGAATTAAGACGCTGTAGAAATGCCCAAGAAAAAGAAAAGTTAGGACGTGAACAGTCCCTGTCTAATCACCCTTGGTATACGCAGCTAACGAAAATTGACCGGCACGGGTCAAAAGCTGGACCGGCACGGGTTAACGGTTTTATTTGAATTTAAAACAGCCATAACTTGCTCAATATTGACTTCCTCGTGTCTAATTTGAAATATATGATTCCTCCCGATGCTTTTAAGTACACCAATTTTTTACAGATTTTTAAACGGACCAAGACTCTCTAAATGCGCATTTATTCTCTTTTCTCTCGAGAACGACTGTCTCATTTTCACGATAACTTTTATTTAGTACTTCTAACATATAAGATCTATTTTCCCCATCAAGGTATGATGTAAATGACATGCTTTTTACATATTGTGAGTTTCAATGACGCGCGTTTGATTTTATAAAAAATGCCAAACTTTGTGACAAAGAATTTCATCCTGCCTGCAGCGAGAAGACGGACCGGTTCGGGGCAATAGCATGAACATCATTCAGGAATCTTTATACATGTGTGTTACATCTATTATTACAAGGATCTAAAGTTTCAAATCTTCTCTTAGAACCTCTCCGACAAACCGTTACATGTCCAACTTACCTTCGGTTGTTCCATCGCTTCTTGGGACACTTTTAATTAAAATATTTATTGTATAACAACATTTATCCCATTCTACGACGCATTTGAGGTAAAAAATTAGGTTGGTAAAAAGCTCCAGAGCAAGTTGGATACAGCTGGAAATATATATATATATATATATATATATATATATATATATATGACTCGGTCACTGCGGTCCATTGGGAAATACACATATATCCCTGAGGATAAACCCTGTATCCAAAAACCTCCAACATAATCCATATTCACATGCCGGCTGAGCAGGCGGATGTATCTTCCCGCTTCACGTTAGACTCAGTTCTCATTATCTTAAATATCTAAGTGCCAAGTGCGCTGGAAAAATCAAGCCATTGAATATAAAGGGGCATGGGATAAACAGTTTTTCCTTTAGTAGGTTCTGAATATTGGTATTATCCTAGGACCATATAATTTATCTGCCCTTGAAACCTAGAACCTTATATAGAGTAATCTCTATTTATCCTATGCCAAGTAGTTTTAGGAAGATAAGTTAGCAAGATATATTCTCATCTGTATCCCGACTCTTAAGTTTCCATATCCAGAACCTACGTATCTCCCGCCATATCTCCCGCTCCCGAGCATACCTTTCCACTTTCGGCAATTCTAAAAATCTTCTGGGTATAGGATAAAGCAGTTATTTACGCTGGGTTTCGAAATGGGGTTTACTGCTCCGGAGATATGCATTTCCTACCCCTATATAAACTCCATATTAAAATCTCCCCAATGCATAATCCCTTTGTACCCCATAACTAGGAAGGTAAATAGTATGTATAAGAGTAGGTGAATAATTTGTATCACTGAACATAGCAATTTCTGTTTTGAAAAGTGCGATATGAAATATATATTCTTTAGTTCTCCTAGTATAGCTCGATAACATCCAATCGCGTTTTTGTCTTTACAAAGTTTAATCACCACCATCTATTTTCTATCGAGAGTTAGCTTGAAATATCAAAACATTATAATATTCTCATACTTGTAGAACTAAAAATGCTTTCCTATTATCATTACTACAATGACGAATATTTGCTACATGGGTCACAAAAATATATTTTCAGTTTCCCAAATAATCGGATCTAGCATGAAAAGCATCCCGAGATGTGTAAATGATGATAAGATTAGTAAATAATTAGAAACGTTGTTATCTTTTTAAATCTTTGAACCTCAGTAAATTGTTCACTGCACGGGGAAATTTCATTGCAACTGCAAGAGAAGTGTCCATGTAATATCTATGCTTCTAGCAAATATGCCTCTGAAGGTATGTGAAAATAGGTTATGTGTGATCGGTTGAAATACAAGGTTTATCTCTTGGAATTACGTGTATCTCACTCGGTTTATCAATCCAACGGAATACAAAAGTATTTCTCTTTAAAAACTTACTGACCTCCGCGAACAGGTACGTAGATTGCTAGACAATGTTAGTACCTCAGTTGAAATACTCAATTTTGATTGGTCAATTAACGGTCAACAAAATGTACTGTTGACCGATACTGGGTACTGTTGACCGTTACTGGGTACTGTTGACCGCTACTCAGTACTGTTGACCGCTGCTAGGTACTGTTTCAAAATTATTATTTTTAAATCAGAATTGAAACAAGGCATTAACATGACAAAATGTCACCACCTAAAACAATTTGGTCAATTTAAAGCAAGTTGGAAAATACCTTTTGACCTTAAGAAGAACTTCTGAGAACATGTAGATGATTTTGAAAAAAAAATTAGTCAATTTGAAGCAAGTTGAAAAAAAGACCTTTTTGACCTTGAGAAGGTCATTAAAGGTCAAAGATCAAATCTAAAGTCAGATTTGAACTTCTGAGAACTTGTAAAGTCAAATTTGAACTTCTGAAAAGATGTAGATGATTTTGAAAAAAAAATTGGTCAATTTGAAGCAAGTTGAAAACAGACCTTTTTGACCTTTTTTGACCTTGAGAAGGTCATTAAAGGTCAAATGTCAAATCTAAAGTCAGATTTGAATTTCTGAGAACATGTAGATGATTTTGAAAAAAAGAATTAGTCAATTTGAAGCAAGTTGAAAAAAGACCTTTTTGACCTTTTTTGACCTTGAGAAGGTCAAATGTCAAATCTAAAGTCATATTTAAATTTCTGAGAACATGTAGATGATTTTGAAAAAAAATTTAGTCAATTTGAAGCAAGATGAAAAAATACCTTTTTGACCTTTTTTGACATTGAGAAGGTCATTGAAGGTCAAATGTTAAATCTAAAGTCAGATTTGAATTTTTGAGAACATGTAGATGATTTTGAAAAAAAAAATTTGTCAATTTGAAGCAAGTTGAAAAAAGACCTTTTTGACCTTTTTTGACTTTGAGAAGGTCATTGAAGGTCAAATGTCATATCTTAAGTCAAATCTAAAGTCAGATTTGAATTTCTGAGAACACGTAGATGATTTGAAATTTTTTTTAGTCAATTTGAAGCAAGTTGAAAACAGACCTTTTTGACCTTTTTTGACCTTGAGAAGGTCATTGAAGGTCAAATGTCAAATCTAAAGTCAGATTTGAAGGTCAAATGTCAAATCTAGTCAGATTTGAATTTCTGAGAACATGTAGATGATTTTGAAAAAAAATTTAGTCAATGTGAAGCAAGTTGAAAAAAGACCTTTTTGACCTTGAGAAGGTCATTGAAGGTCAAATGTCAAATCTAAAGTCAGATTTGAACTTCTGAGAAGATGTAGATGATTTAGAAAAAAATTGAAGTCAGTCTAAACAGTATTTGTTAAGTTATAGGAAGTTGTAAGAAATTGTTACAGACGCCGGACGCCAGACGCCGGACGCCGGACGCCAACCACCAACCGCCGTCGCAAAAAAACGGAGACCATAACAATATGTCACCACTTTTTGGTGGTGACATAAAAAGAAATTGAAAAAATCTAAATCGTATTATATGGTTTTTTTTCGTGAAATATGATATCTTGATCAACTTATCAAATATTTCTTCACGTATTACTAGTATTCGATTATTCTCAGTCAACAGTACTTTCAAGGTTTACAGTATCGGTATATATATCGTATACTATATGATTTCTATTAGCAGAGAAACAATAACTCAAGACAGAAAATATTTTATTCAAAAATATTGCAAATACGATGTAACATTGAAATGTCATGAGAAAAAATAAAACAGGAACACTAAAATGAGAAACATATACAATAACATGCCCTTTAGTGATAGTCTACATGTTGAAGTCACTTGTCGTTTTCCTGGTCTATAGGCCTACATGCTTGTCCTCTTTTTTACAATGCGCAAGAAGATTTCTTCTTTGTTTGAATTTTGCATGGCATGTACAAATGTAATCCCTTCTTTTGCTGTGCACATCTAACTCATGTTGTTTTCTCATTCTCCTGCTCGTGCATACTTTTTTACAAATCTTGCATTTCTCAGGCATCTTTTGGATGCAGTTTTCTTCGTGTCGTTTTCTGTTACTGTTATTTGCAAAAACCTTTTCGCAGCTACCGCATTTTATTTTAGTTTTATTGTTATCGTGTTTTGCAAGGTGAGCTAAAAAATTATCCCTTCTTTGAAAATTTCGTCCACATTCTGAACAGAGAATTGTATTATCTTTTGTGTGCATATCGTTATTATGTCTGATGAGAGCAAAATACTGGCAGAAAAACGTGCAAATATTGTCCTACCACAAGACCCATAGCCATTGATATTAGTGGGCATTTTACTGCTTTAAATTGTAAACTTGGTAACCCAGTAGACTTTTATTTCTTGGGATTAACTCCAGCAAGTAATTTAGAAAACATACGTTTTGTAACACTCATATTAGTGAGTTTTCGCAACTCCCATATAGCACTCCCTTATAACGTATTACTTATGATCGTGTGTATTAAAGTATAGGGCAGTATCTATACGCAAAAACATAAGTTATGCTATAAGTGAGTTGCGAACACTCTCTATTTTATTGAGCTATCCGTATTATCGCCGATATTTTAGAGTCTCTAGAAGATTATATACCTGGCACACAGTCTGTACCACAGACATTGTCGAAAATATATACAGAATATCACATCATTTTGAGTGATATCATTTTTATCGCCGAGTTGATATCAAATATCAACACGAGTGAGCGAAGCGAATGAGTGTTGATATTTGATATCTACGAGGCGATAAAATGATATCACTCAAAATGATGTGATATTGGGTTTATCCCATGATTACGATCACCTTGTGATATAGTTCGTCATAAATACAATTTTTAATTCCCAACAATATTGTGGCGCGAAATGCAAATGTGATATCACACGGATATGCGTGAGATAAACGATATCACACGCATATGAGTTTGATAAACGATTTTCATGAAAATATCACACGAATTTCAATGATATCAGAAATATCAATAGCTGTTATTGTACAGATAACACATTAATCGTGGGATAATAAGATGTATTGTATTATTAAAAACAGTTTGCCAGAAGGTTTGAAAGTACGAATGCATAGCACACATCAAATTAGCATCGCAAGTGCGACCTCTTCATTGCAAATCACACAAAGTCTATCTTGAACAGCAAGGCGTGCATATCTTCCAGTTTCAATTTGGAAAACAATGGTATTATTGTTATCGCATATTTTGTCTGGTGCATTTGTTCGAAAAAATCAAGGCACATAGTAAATGAAAGAGGATAATATCAGATGATATCGATATTAGTCATGTTGACTTTGCTGCTATAATACTTTTAACGCCAAGTTATATTTCATACCTCTATGTATCTAATTCAAAATAATATCCATCAAGAACTAAGGTCTTCAATGAGTTTTGATCGAATGATACGCTGAAAACTTTTATTGAGAGCTGAACATTCAGCATCAATTGTATTGTGAAATAAAACATTTAAAAAAAACTAGATTTCATATGTTTTCCCATTGTAATTAGCTTGGTTTGTTCGTTATTTTCTCTTCAGTAACAATTTAATGTAATAAGTCTGTCAACTTGGATTTTATTTGTTCTGAAAGAGAAGTTCAATTGGTCCGACATTCACTCTGATGATATATTTTTTAGTCTTGGTCGCATTGCTGGTATAGCAGTATCAATGCAATTGTAAAATTCATAATCCATGGCTAGATACTAGGTAGCAACCTCAGGTTTCATTTGGTATGGAAATTATGATTTGATATCAAGAATTAAAAAAGTTATAGCATATTTTGAAAAAGTGGCGTTTTTTGTCTTACCTTGTATTACTTCCTAGATCTTCAATAATTACGGTAAAACTAAAAAGGGAAAGAAGAAGACACCGAGCTATGTCTAGCTCAAATAAGCCCCGATTCCTCTGCCAGCGCCCTGCCGATTGAGTATTTTGTTCAGAAATGAATGCAATTCTGAACAAAAATAGAGCAATGACCTGATAGCATAGATGGGCAATATTCTAACCATTGGAATTTACAACTGACATGTAACGGTCTATCGGAGACGTTTTAAGAGAAGATTTAAAACTTTAGATTCTTGTAATAATAGATGTAACACACATGTATAAAGATTCCTGAATGATGTTCATGCTATTGCCCCGAACCGGTCCGTCTTCTCGCTGCAAGCAGGATGAAATTCTTTGTCACAAAGTTTGGCATTTTTTATAAAATCAAACGCGCGTCATTGAAACTCACAATATGTAAATAGCATGTCATTTACATCATACCTTGATGGGGAAAAATAAATCTTATATGTTAGAAGTACTAAATAAAAGTTATCGTGAAAATGAGACAGTCGTTCTCGAGAGAAAAGAGCATAAATGCGCATTTAGAGAGTTTTGGTCCGTTTAAAAATCTGTAAAAAATTGGGGTACTTAAAAGCATCGGGAGGAATCATATATTTCAAATTAGACACGAGGAAGTCAATATTGAGCAAGTTATGGCTGTTTAAAATTCAAATAAAACCGTTAACCCGTGCCGGTCCAGCTTTTGACCCGTGCCGGTCAATTTTCGTTAGCTGCGTATACCAAGGGTGCTAATGGAAACATTTTATGTTCCAATTCATCCATTCTCGGAATGTAATTTAATATTGACCAACCCATGGGGAATGAGTAAGTTACTCTAATTAACTACAAACATATCACTATACTCATTCGACCAAGTATGGAAGTAGATGTTCGTCACATTGATTCGTTTATTAATCATGATATCGCTTTCTTATATTGTTAATAACTTATATAATTAGCCATTATGTCCCTATCATTGAATATATGCCTGAGGTATCACCTTTCCACAAAGTAAAGAAAATCGATAATTTCCGGCGCACTGATTGGTTGTATGCAAACGAGTCAAATCAAAGACGTCAATGATGGAAAGTTTTGAAGAATTAGTACACGGCATAGGAATATTTTGAATTAACTCGAATAAAAAGGATTCTATTTGCCCAACGCACTAATTATCTTTAATCAAATATGAAATATGGACGGGGCACTTTCATACCGATTCTTATGTAATTAAATTTTATTATTTTTTGACAGAAGTATTGTTAATTAAGACTTCTCAGATCAGCCTCACATACCCGGGCTCAAATGTCTCATGCGATTGTAAACAAAAAATGTAAATTGTGAAGTTACAAACAACTCGGTTAAATTATCTGATAGTGGTCATACACTATCCTGTTAATGGTTATTATGTCGTAGTAAGAAGTTCCATCAGAAATAGAGGAGTTTCAAAATGATTTTGAAATCTCGCTAATTCTCGTTTTTCATGAGATTTTAAGAGATTTGCACATTTTACCTCTAATGATTTATTTTTCTTTCTTTTTAATAGCATATTTGAATTCAGTGATATGTTTCCTACAATAATAGCTTTGATTTACACATTTATGTCATTTAAATCATTCTCCATGACATTTAAAAAAAACTTGGGCCAAATCTCCATTGATGTTATGCTAAAATTCTTTAAAACCATGGTTTAACGAATTGATACATTTTATAAATAAACTTTTTAATCAGCGTCGGGAGCTATTTGAAAAAGGAAAAAATTAGATTGTATGATAGTATTTGTGAAACAATGCATGTTGTTTTTTAACTGTATAATTATATGTAAATGTTGTAATTGATTTTGTGAGGAAACCAAGTGTTTGGTTTGAAACACAATAAAATCTTGAATCTTGAATCTTGAATCTTGGTTTAATCGTATGACAACCAACATTTTCATGTTTAATCAAAATATGTTCATTGACAGGATCATTTAATAGTATGCCATTCAGGTTTCGGACAGATTTAACTAGCACTCTTTGATAAATCATGAAATTAAGTGACTATTGCAAGCTTTTAGCATAGAACTCAAAGGAAGGTTGGTCCAAGATGAACAACGGTGACATCTATTATGTCAGCTTTATTCAGCTTTATTTAGCTATTTAGAAACTATACTATTTACCATGAGTGACATTCGCACAAAGCGTTACCTTTTGGTACATTTATTCGCCATCAGCGATGTCAATAATGATCAGCAATGTCAACATATCATCAATAAACATTATATGATATACGCTCTTTCTCTGAAATCTTCCCAAACTGATCATCATATAATTGATTTATCCAATGACAAGTGAGGTTTCACAAGTGAAATCAGGACACCCATATCCATGTTTGTTTTCTATTAAGCGTTCTCATTCTCATTATTTTCAAGAAATCCATCATCATTTTGGTTAAAAAAGATTCTATTTTGGATCTATTTTGACAGTTTTGCTTCAGCAAGATATTTTAACAAATTGACTGTTTCTACACTGAAAAAAAAAATTTCCCGGGAATACTTGGATCGGGAGATACGCAGCGGGAAATATACATTGGAATATATATACACTCTCCATAAGTTTGGCAACCTTTTTTCCTCATTGAACTACGTGTTAAAGCCTCTTTCCCTTGAATTTTTATTTACTTAACCTGCGATGAAAATACTTATACTATTGATGGAAACGTAATTTGACTTTAATTCCAATACCTCCAAATTTTCTCAATTTTTTTTCTCAATTACAATAGGTCGAAAATTGATGATAAATTTGATGAATTTTTGAAAATCGACATTGCCATGTTAACCAATGGGAAATGGTAGGTTTGCCGCAAGTCATATGACAGAATATCCATCCATCTGAGTCCTTGCAAAAATACGAGTTAGGCAGGCAATTGAATTTGCTAACTTTATTTAACAAAAAATTGATATGTTTCTTCAGGTTCAACAAAGTTATAAGGCTTTAAAGTCAAAGTTGTTTTTCAAAAAAACTCTCCCATTGAAATAACACAGGAGGCGAAAAATTATTTTCAAAAATGACTTTGAAGCACTGTAACTTTTATATTCATCAAATAAACTAAACACTTGGTGTTTTAAAAAGTTAGACAATTCAATTTTCTATATGAAAATATTTTTTGCTGAATCTTTTACTGAAAAGATATCCTGATTTCTGATTTGCCCCGAACCCTCCATTTCCCATTGGATTACATGGGAATGACGATTTTCAAAAATTCATCAAATTTATCATCAATTTTTGACCTATTGTAATATACCAATACGCGATAACGTTTAGTTTTCGTTCAGTTTAGTTAACTCTCGTTTGAAGAGCTCTCATGTACGGTACAACATAGTCTACATCCGGGTTCTTTACCATTGGATTACATAGGGGTCCTATTTTCAATGCCGCACTGCGACTTTATTAAACATTTATGTAGAGTTGCATTTGCAGAAATGATAGGTATGTATGTAATTAAGATATATAACAAGGCTTTTTGAACTGTAATCCCC